AGAGCCATATCAAGATTTTGTAGCTCGGTTGCTACAGGCAGTTAACAGAATAATTAGTGATTCAAGGGCTGTCCCTGCTGGTGGGTCGCTCTGTGTGTCCTGCTTGGCACCGCATTTTGGGACAGGGGTCAGTGTGGAGAGCCCCTTGTCTTGGGAAACGGGGGCAGCAGGCGGGTGGACACACAGGCACTCACCTGGTGGCCACAGGGCTTCCCGGGGAGGGCGGGGACAGTGGTCAGTCCATGAAAGGGCATGGGTGCGAAATGCTCTTGGAGAGTTAAAAAACACTCTGCCCCACGTAAACACGCGTGCTAGGACGTTGCTCCCCTTTCCTAATCCTTTTGTAAACCTGGGGTCAGAGGAAATGTTCCCATTCCTCTGCCCACTATGGGACCCAAATACTATCCGGGGGAGGGCTTCCTTGAACACTTTTCACTGTGTTCTCCTATAGGCCTATTGGCCAAATTGGCTGAATTTGCAAAGGTGGTAGGAGCAGCCTTAAGGGAAACAGGGCCCTTGGGGAAGGATCACCCTAAGAAGGGTCAGGATGGCAGGCCTAGGTCCCAATTAGGGATAGAAAAGACTAAGACTAAGTCAGGTGTAGAGGATACTGATGCAGCAGACTCAGTCCTGACTGGGCCAATGGGCCCCTAACCTACCCGTGGTCTTCAAAGAGGACTATGGACCATGGGAGATATACCGTGACTCATTCATTTCTGGCCATGCTGGAGTGCCCATGTCCCCTACTTGGACGTGATCTTCTCCAGTGACTGGAGTGATTCTTCAATTGCTGGCCACTGCCACTCCAGGCCAGCCCCACATCAAGTTCTACAAGACGTTGGCCATTAATCCTGCCAGCCTGCCTCCTGCATGATGACCCGGAGAAACCTCTACAGGACTACCTGTAGATACCATGCAGACAGCCCGGTCAGACCTCAAGGATGTCCCCCTGCCATCATCAGATGAGGTATTGTTCATGGACGGGAACAGCTATGTCCAGGAAGAGATCAGGTATGCTGAGGCAGCAGCAATAACTCTGGACCGTGTCATATGGTCTCAGTCATTAAGTAGGGGAACTTCAGCCCAATGCCTGAACTCATAGCCCTGATCCAGGCTCTCTGATGGGGCAAGGAAAATCTGCTGCAGACCAGAATCAATGGATGATGGACACTGCCTGATGGGAGGTTGTTAGTCCCAGAGGCCTTAGGTCGGACTTTAGTCAACCAGCTGCACCAGACTACCCACTTAGGTTACACCAAGCTTACTGAACTCCCGAGAGGCAGGTGATGTCTGGTAAAGTCACAGGGAAAGAAGGCAGAGAGAAGCAGGAGTGTGTGGATCTGAGTAGGGAGGAGGAAAAGGAAAACTGGGCAGTGTGCAGACCGCAGATAGATTGAGCAAGCTCTCAGGTTTATGTCCGGGAAAGCACTAGGAAAGACGCAGAGGGTCTATGCAAGATAAAGAAAGATTCAGGCAGGGAGACAGGACCTTAAAGGAAACCTTAACCAAATTTACTTTAAAAACCGGTGAAAACTGGACCACTCTGCTCCCCCTCGCCCTCTTACAGTTCTTGCAGGCCCTGCAGTCCGCCCTGAAAGCTGTCCACAAACTCGTCTGTGATGACCTGCCTGTGCTCACCTCGGACCCTATGCACCCATTTCACCCTGGGGACTCAATATGGTTCTCTGAGGACTCTGGCCAATGGTATCCTCTAAGCAGAAGACCAACCCTAACCAAACCCGAAACTGCTGGTTCTGCTTAAAACCCCTTACCTCCATACTACATAGGCATCGGCACCAACAGGATGATAGGAGAAACAACAGACTCCATCAGGAATCAGACAATACTACAGGAACAGGAGAAAGCCCAATCAGCCTCCACTAATTGGTATGAGAATTTATTCAACTGGTCCCCTTGGCTCACTACCCTAACTTCCCTGGCTGGTCCCCTCATCCTCTTACTCCTGATGCTGACGTGTGGTCCTATTATAATCAATCGCACAGTTCAGTTCATCAAGGAACGCATTCAGACTGTGAAGCTCGTGGTCCTGAGCACTCCTTACCAGAGACTGGTCATGGTAGAAGAGACTGAAGAAACTTATCTAGGTTCAAGGATTTGAATTAGCCCCAAGACCAATGGGGAATGTGAAGGACAGACAATAGGGCAATAAAACAAAAGAACACACAGCTAAAGTACTGTGAAAACCTGTAGTTAAAAATTACCCACTTGGTAGACCTTACTCTGGACCCTAAGAGGATTACAGGAACTAGGTAAGAGGGAAGGAGAGAGGCATCAGCCGGAGTTGACCACTACATTGTGCACATAGAAATGCTTACCCCTCAGACATAATGGCTAACTGCAGATATCCACTTCTGTACATACTTGCTTGCTCGCAGACCCTTAGCCCAATTTTTTAACAGGGGCTAAGAAAACGATATAAGCACCCTCCCCCTGAGCTTGGGGCTGCTCTCTCTCCTCTGCGTAAGATGGGACAGTCGCTGCGCGGCTAATAAAGCTCTCTTAATTTGAACCCAGTTCGAAGTCTGAGTCTGGTCTACAACAGTATGAGAGTGGTAAGAGCTTGCCAGGCAGTGAACACATGGAGACCTGGTCTCAGGCCACCAGCTGGGCCACAGAGAGTCCTACAAACCAGGCTCCTCTTGGATTCTGCGGTGTTTCTTCCGAGGACCTGATTCAGGAGCTTTGGTAGGAAAGTGGCCTCTGTGGCTCAGTCATAAGAGCTGGGGCTCCTATAAAATAATGCGAGATGCCCAGCCAGTGTGGCTCAGTGGACTGAGCATCATCCCAGGGACTGAGAGGTCACAGTTAGATTCCCAGTCAGAGCACATGCCCGGGATGCAGGCTTGATCCCCAGTAGGGGGCGTGCAGGAGGCAGCTGATAGATGTTTCTAACTCTATCCCCCCCCCCCCTTTTAAAAAAAATCCTCAACTGAGGATATTTTTCCATTTATATTCAGATCGAGTGGGAGGAGAAGAGAGAGAGAAGCATCAGTGTAAGAGAGACACATCAACTGGTTGCCTCCCACACAACCTGGACCAGGGCTGGGACCAAACTGCAACCAAGGTACGTGCCCTTAACCAAAATTGAACCCCTGACTCTTTGGTCCACGGGCTGATGCTCTAACCGCTATGATGCACCAGACAGGGTCTCCCTCTCTCTAAAAAGTCAATAAAACCATATTTTTAAAAAATGCTGCAAGATTTCTTGGTTGGGGGAGTGTTTGTGGTACCGGACCTCCAGTTGCTGCTTAATGGCTGCATTCACAAAAAGTGGGCTCACAGTGCCCTCTAGTGATCAGAGTCTCTGTTAACCTCCACTGCCAGACATCAAAAGGTAACATTTTTCAGTTTTTAAAAACCTAGAATGGCCCAGCTAGTGTGGTTCAGTGGTTGAGCATTGACACATGCACCAAGAGGTTGCTTGTTCGATTCCTGGTCAGGACATATCTCCAGGTTATAGGCCCAATTTCCAGTGGGGGGCATGCAGGAAGCGGCCAATCTATATTCTCTCTCTCTCATAGATGTTTCTATCCCTATCTCTTTGTAAAATTAAAAAAAAAAAAAAAAAAAAAGCCTAGAATGAACTCCCTCTACATCCCATTCCCACTCCTTTACATAAATATTCCAAAGAAAGAAGGGATGGAGGGAATGTCCATGGAGGTAAAAAGAAGAAAGAAAATTGTTCACATATTCTCTTATTTTGGAAAACATCATTAGACAACACTAAAAATTTTATTGTTTTGAATACTGTTGTTGATAAAGGTTAAAAAGTAGCTATACTACTGCCGAGAGAAACAGTGATTGCCAGAATGATCACAGTAAGCAAGGGATACAGGGAGGTCCGAGGGAACACAACATAGGAAACCTGGATAGAAAGGCAAATCAACAGTCATAACCGAGAGTGGCGAGTTTGGGTTCTGAGTCAGGAAGACCCTGGGCCCAGTGTCTGTCACTTACTAGCTGTGAGGTTGTGGACAGATCATTTTGATTCACTGAGCTTGTTTCTAGGGAAAAGTAGCTCCTCTGATCCCTCTAATTAAACAAGAGGCAGCATGCACTGCCCAAGAGCCAACTCTGGAGCCAGAGTTGGAATGGAATCTAAGCATTACTACTTACTGTGTGGCCTTGGGCAAACTATTGAAACTTTGTCTCAGAATCTTGGGGATGTGTTAAGAGTGCCCCAAAGGTCTGTTGTGAGATTCAAGTAAATGCATGTGAAGTACTTGGGAGATAGCCTAGCAAGCATTCAATAAGAGTTAGCTATTATTATTGTTGTTTTACTAATATACATGTAAAATACCCAGATATGATCAGATCAGTAGTTAGTTCCCCTTCCTTTGCAATCTGGCTCTGGGCACAATGCTTGCATGAACTACTTCCAAAACAAGTCTGGTCAATACTCTACAATACCCTCCCAGTGCATGAGTACTACCCCCTTTCTTCCACAGATCTCCTTTCCACGTGATCTTGAGTCCTTGCAGCCCAGTTAGTTCCCAGTCTTCTACTGACATTTTTTTTTTTGGAGGAAGTGGGGCTAACAGGCTTCCTGAGGGAAGCCTGAATTCCTTTGACTACCCAGGAGAGGAAGCTATGCGTCAGACTGCACTTGGTCTCCCTGACATCCCTTGTGGAAGGCAAGAGGCCCTTAGAGGTGGGGCCCAGGATTGCCACAAGGAGCCACGCTCATCTACACTAGCAGAGGGACACTTGCTTCCAATCATCATTCCAGGGACAAGCTGTGTGTTCTTAATTATCTAAGATCAGTGAGCAGGGAGGCAGCTGTGGCCACAGGAGAATTTTTGTCCATATAGAACCAACTAGTCAGGAAGGACGGCCAGCACATCTGTCAGTCATGACTTCATTAACACCAGGCTCTTAGTCTTTCTGAGTAGCCCGAGAGAGTGAAACACAAATGAGATCAGAACCAGATAAACAGTTTGGTGGAGACTGCGGTCTATGGAAAAAAAGCACACCAAGAGTTTATACAAAACCTTTTATTTACTGTTTATAGTTCTTCTCCTCATCCTTATCCCCAATCTGGAACCCAGGCAGCTCCTTAGACTTTCTGCTGCCTGGTTCTTGAAACCGGGGCTTTGGGACATGGAGGAGGCCTATAAAAGGTTGGAAATCTTTTCACCCACCAGTTGCAGAAGTTAAAGGAAGCTTTCCTGCCTGACCAAAGCTCCAACAGCTTCTTAGGGTAGCCCCTCAAGCCAGAGGATCCATCCCCCATTGGATGGATACAGGAAGAGACAATGTGTCTCGGAGACCCAATGGCTCCCCACCACTCACTGCTTCTATAGCACACCAGGCCCTATAGCGGGACCAATTTCTTACTTGGAAACAGAGTCCAGAAACATGAGTGGGGGATGAGGATGGGATGGACAGCCTGTAGTTCTGGGTCCTAATCAACAAACAGAAAACAGGAAGAGGTTGGCCTGGTTGAACTGAAATGGGAAATGGAAGGAGGGTACAGGAGAACATGGGCCGGGTTACTGGCCGGGGTGGGGCCAGCTAGACATCTGTGAAGAGAGGTTATAGCCCCTATTGGAACAGGCACTCCCAGCCCCACAACCACCTGGAAGGGGGAGAAGGGAGCCTTGATCCCACTTAGACAAAGGGCTAATGATACAATAAACACTTTTGGTCTGAGGGTGCCCTTACCTGGCACCCACTAGTATAGGAAAGGGCAACAGCCCTCATCTGCCAGACATGGGTTTGGCTGCCTCCCTGGCCACCACAGCCCATTCTGGGTACTGTCACTCCTACCTTTGCCATTACTGCCCCGCCAGAAACCCTGCACACCCCATAACCTTACTGCAGACTGGGGCTACCTGCCAGCCAGGCTCCAGCTGGTGGGGCAGAAACAAGGGCCCTGGAGCTCAGGGCTTGTTCCCGGGGTGAGGCCCACCCATGGATTTGTCAAGGCTCCTTCCCACAGTCCTGCCATAAGCCAGACCTACAGATCCCTCCTGGGAGCGCACCGGGCTCTCCGGTTCTCCGGAAGACGAGATCCTGGGGAAGTACTCTCAGGGAGGACGAAGAGCCTCAGAACGTTATTTGTTCCAATTCACAGGTCCTGATCTCCTGCCTTAGAAGTCTGAGTCTGCGTCCATGAGCTCTGCTTCCATCAGGTTGGTGCGGGAGTGAATGGGCCCCAGTCCCTGCCGGCGGCCCTGAGCCCAGGCCACGGGAGCTGGGGCGCTGGGCAGAAACGGATCCTGCAGGGGACTGGGCTCTGGGCAGAAGGGGCTGGAGACCAGGGTCCAGGCTCTCTGCCGGCAGGATTCCCCAGCTCCCCAGGCGCCCGCGGCCACCAGGCACTTCTGCCGGGGCAGCTGCGGCAGACGAGGAACAGCACTGGAGGCAGATGCGGGGGCCGGATGGTGAAGCTCGGGAGGTGGCACCAGTGGGCACACCTCCTTCTTCCTCTTCCTCCGCTTCTTCTTACGGCCCAGGCGCTTCTCCAGCTCTGGGGAGATCTCTGCCTCAACCAGCCACAGGTTGGCTTTTTCCTCTGGGGGCACTGACGATGGGAGAGAGAATATGAGCCTGAGACCATGATTATATCCACATCACCCTTCTCTCCTTGGACTCCCACTTTGAGCTCTGGGACCTACAACTCTAGACCTGTAGGGCCTCAGCCCCACACTTTAGATCTTCCTCAGCCTTTCCTTCCCCCTCGCCTTCTGGTAGCCCCTGGTACTACAGTCCCAGTAACCCCCAGCCTCTATGTCCCCCACCTTCCTACAGAAACCTGAACCGCATACCTGGAGTTGCCACAGGGGTGACAGACACATCCTGGGGCAGTATGGCTCCTCTCCGAGCCACCATCTTGGTGACGTGCTGGGCCCAGGCAGAGGACACATCAGCTGAGGGCTCATTGAGGTCAAAGGCCAGACCCGCTGTAGGGATGGAAGGATAAGGAATCATGACAGCCCCGTCCTTTGCAGTCAACCACTCCCCCCTTATTCAGCACCATTCACCTTAGCCAATGGCTTCCACTCCACCTCACACAGAAAACCTACCCTGGTAATCACAGTGATCTCGACCCATTCCCAAATTACAGAGCTTGGGCACCCAGAGCAAGCGTGGGACCTCACTAAAGGCCGGAAATCCAGTTCCTGAATGCCTAACTTACTCTAGCCCAGGGAGAACAGCTAGAAAAGACAGGAGAAGGGGCAGGGAGATGAGTCGTCTGGAAACAAAATAAACTATTAAACCCAGAAACAGAGAGGGGAGAGTTGCTGGGGATGGGCAGGGTACTGGAAAAGAATGACTGTGAAGAGAGAAGGGAGCATTGGGCTCCTCACAGCCTTCCAAACAGTCCACACGTGCATTCCAGCCTGGGAGGGAATGGGGCCCACGTGCTGCAGGTGTTAGGTGGCTCCCGGGGAGGAAAGGGGCCGAAGCATACCCACAGGCCCATCGTGGGAGACGGTGTGCATGCTGAAGGAGAGCTCCTGGCCTGGGTTCTGCAGCAGCTCACGCCGCTTGGAGAAGGCCTTGGCAATCATCTTGCTCTTCTTGATGCGTTTGGGCTCATCATCACTCTGTCCGGTCAACCTGAGAGCAGCAGGGGTTGGGGAGGGAAAGTGGAGGAGCAGTCACTTTCCATCAAATCTTGCAAAAGACCAGTGAACACATCCCCTCTAGGACAGAAGCCCCCAGAGGGCCTCAAGTCCCTCAAGGACTCTGAGGAGCACAGGCCTACTCTGCAAAAAAAGCGGGCCCAGAATGCAGGGCTCCTGTGTGTCCAGTTCTCAAATCATTCCACTCTTTTTTGTTTTTGTTTATCCTCACCCGAGGACATTCTTCCATTTTCTGTTCAGATAGAGCGGGAGGGAGAGAGAGAAACATCGATGTGAAGGGACACATCGAGTGGCTGCCACCCGCACGACCTACCAGGGCCGGGGGCAAACTGCAACTGAGGTACGTGCCCTTAGCGGGAACCAAACCCGGGTCTCTCTGTACCGCAGGCCGACGCTCCAACCGCTGAGCCAAACCAGCCAGGGCTCAAATCATTCCACTCTTAAAAGATGCTGGCAGTGGGCCAGTGCTCCCAAGGACAGGAGGTATCACCAGGGGGCAGTGGTGAGCCACAGAGAAGTTGGCTTTAGGCGGCTGGGCACAGACTCTTAGAAATCACAACTGCCCAAGGCTGGGCTGGGAGACATGGGACCAGACAAAGCCTAATGGTGGGACACTTAGGTTGAGAGACTAAGGCCTCGGAGTCAGAATGGGCTGGCTGCTGACCCCACCTGCACCAGGTGCGTTTCCAGATGAGCAATGTGGCCTTGGTCCAGACCCAGGTGCTCATGGCAATGCCAGTTCCAAACATGGCAAACAGGTTGATCTTCTCCACCAGCAGGCTAGGGCGATTCTTGATCTCACAGTCAGGGATGGGCTTCTTGGTGGGCAGCCCGATGGTTACATTGGCCTGGCACCTATGGTGAGGGGTGGCAGACAGGTGAGGCTTTCTGGGTCTCCTGGGTGGATACCCAGACAATCACTAAGCCCCACAGCACAGGTTCACAACCCTGGGTGCTTATTAGAGTCACCTGGGAGCATTTAATAGCTACTGATGTCTGGGCCACACCCCAGACAATTAAATCAAATCTCTGAGGGAGAGACCCAGGCATGGGTGTAGTTTAGAGCTCCCCAGACTGCAAGCTGAAGCCTTGAAGGAGTCTGAAGCAGTCGATGTGGACTGGTATTTGAATGAGCGTTTTAACCGCTGTTACTGGTGTCAGTAGGTGCTGCACTTCTTTCAACAGCTGAGATGCCTTATCTCTCAGAGTCATCCTCATGGTGACACAAAAAGCACAGGCAAATTAGCAGGCATCAACAGGCTGTTAACTTATCTTGGACAGGCAACTACTTCTGGGCAGGGCTCATCAATAAGCTCTGTAAAAGACTACATGAGAATTGGAGACAGCTACTACGGTGGCCAACAGAGTCGGTCAGAGAAGCCAAAACGCGAGATGGCTTCTTAATAGTTACAGACGCACCGGTCAGACTGCCATAGGGGTCTGAGCAGAGTTGAGCAGGGACTTGAGGGCTATTTGCCATGTTGGCAAATTACAGAGCAATTGACATCTTGGGTTCCCAGAGCACGATGGTCAGATTCCAGCTGGACAGCACAGGAAGGCGGACCTTGTGGTCCTGGCTCCGGCTCCTCCCGTAACTGCTCCCAAGTCCCCAAGCCCCTGTCCTGCACTCACAGCACGTAGTCCCGGAAGCTGCGTTCCCATTCAGCCTGGTTGAAGAAGTCATAGAAGTGGCAGCTGAAGGTGATGAGCACAAAGCCAAAGGCCAGGAAGCCAAAAATGCCTGTGGAGGAGAGTGTTTGACCCTTTGGGGCCTGAAACACAGCTGAGCCTGGGGTGAATTCATGCTGGGCTCAATTCAAGAACTGTAGTCTCCAAAAAGGCATGAAGGGCACCTGAGGCAACTGTGGGAGGCCCCAGTGGGAGGGAAGGGACATGAGGAAGCAGTCTTGGCATGAACTTGAATTCTTCCACCTGAGAAGCTCCCTTTCTTTTGAGCTGCTACAACCACACACACACACACACACACACACACACACACGCACGCGTGTGCGCGCGCATCTCATCTTGCCCCATGGCTGCTAACTTGTGCCACTGACTTAGTTCATCCTCCAAAACCCTATACTGCAGGTCCTACAGCCCCAGGAGGTGCACTGTTAGGCTAGATAGCACCTCAGGCCAAGGGCCCAGGGAACCCACTCACCTAGACGCAGCATGGTCTCATTGATCTTGCTGGCAGCCTTCTCGCTCAGTAGCCCAGGGTGGTTGCTCTTGATGGAGAACAGAGTCATGACTCCTGAACAGAAGGGACACCCCAGACATTAGTGGGGTGAGGCTACTCTCCTGGGAGAGAGGGGTGTGTGGCAGGGGAGGTTCCCATGGCTCTGGAGTCTGGGTCTGATTATTTCTGTGCTGGTGTCAAGCTCGGGGAACTGGAGACACTGGAGAAATGGAGCACAGCTGGTGGCAGACGTCTCATGATGGGAAAGACTGGGGCAGAGCACAGATGGACGGTAGGGGACAGAGAGAAGGCACCTTGGTTCTGCCTGGCCACCCCTAAGTAAGGCAGCCAGGTCAAAGCTGTTGTGCTGGGAAAGGCATAAAAAGACTTGAGAAGAGTGTTGTCTCATAGAAATACAATGTGAGCCACAGACATAATCTCAAATTTTCTAGAAGCCACATTAAAAGAGTAAAAGGACACGAGTGAAAGGGAATTTGGTATAAACAGTATACCATTGCTTATTATGTTATCATTTCAACATGTAATCTGTGCTACAGCTTATTAATGAGTATGGCATGTCTTTGAAATGCAGTTATTTTACACTTATGACACATCTCAACCTGGACTAGTTTCAACACATGTGGCGAGTGCCTACCAAACAGAACAGCACAGATACAAAACGTAAATCAGAGCCCCAGACGATGCCAAGAAGAGGGAAAGGAGGTGGGCTGAACAGAAGGCTGACCTTCTGCGGAGGGAGAAAAACTGAAATTTACAAAGAACCAACAATGCAACAAAAATGAGCTAAGAAGATAGGAAGGCTTATCGTGGAGGTGGCAGATTGAGACAAGGAAATGGAACAGAGAATCTGTGCATGTTGTAGAAATTGTGTGAGTGTGCTTTGTAGGCAGGAGGGAGATGAGAAACACTGAGAGTACATATAAATTTAGAGTGAGCACACTAGACTGAAGGCCCCAAATTGGTCACCGTGGACAGAGTAGGTTACCCATGACACAAGGGCGCCTGGCCAAGGGCTGAGGGGAGGTTGGAACCAGCCCAGGTTCCATTCAACAAGCAGTGAGCGTCGATCAAGGCTCTGAAGAAAGGGTGCATTTTTCTGGCCAACACAAAGGTCTTGTCCCGCATCAAGTGCCCGAGGTACTGTGTCTACCTAGAGGGGGCACCTTCCACTTAGACCAAGACCCAGTGTGACCTGGCTGAGGTCCCACTGCGAAGGCAGCAGAACTGGCTGCGTCTAGCTCCTGCTTTCCCAAAGCTGTGCTCAGCGTATTTTTTGCCCTAGTACCGGTCTGGTCCTCACTCACCTCGGATGAGGAAGTAACCTCCCACAATGAGCACCAGGCCAATTGGGGCCAACACAAAGCCAGCACGGTATCGGTAGTTCTTGTAGCCCACAAAACAGATGCCGCTCACAGAGTCCCCATCCACCTACAACAGGAAGGGGACAGATTTGGTCACTGGCCCCTCACCCAAATCCACCCCACTCAGGACACCAGCCCCCTACCAGTTGCTATACCTGGGCCACAGCGAGGATTGCCACAGTGAGGACAAAAGGGAGTGACCACGTGAGCAGGTGGAAGTAGGAGGTCTTGCCGGAGAGAGGCTGGTAGGTGGTGCCCAGGGCTTTGAAGGAGGTGTGCCAGGCATAGGTGAGGACCACAAACCAGACGACGCCAGCCATCAGGGCGTAGTACACAATGACAAAGATGATGACGCAGGACAGGGTCTCATTGGAGCTATGCAGACATGTAGGGTGTCACTTGGGGAGGTCATTCTGTACTCCCTCTACCAGCTCTCTTCACCCTGTCTCCAGACCCCTGGCTCTAAGGTCTGGAGGTTCCCTAGGAGTCAGAGCTTGGAAACCGGACCCAGTCAGATTTGAAGAAAATACAGAAGATGCCCCTTTGAACAGATGCAAACAATCAAGGTCCTAACACTGAAACCAAGGTCCTAATGTTGGAGACCTTGGGTGCAACAAAGCAGAGCTGAATTCTACCTTGAAATCTCAGATTCAAGTCCAACCTGTCCCTTTTGTGGCAAACACACATTTCAGCCTTCCTCCCCTCACCTCTGGGTCCCCAAGACACCTACGTGGGCTCCCCAAGCCTCATGGTGCCATCTGCACGGCAGACAATCTCCCGGCGGGCACCGTCCATGAACTGGGCCAGCCAGCCAATGCTGCCCACAAAGAAACACGCGTTGACATAGAAGAGAATAACCGCAGGGTAGCGATTCGAATTCCGCCAGTCAGCCACGAAAGTGGCCTAGAAGAGAGAAGTGGGGTCCGTTTTGTGAGATTGGGGTTATTCTGCTGCTGCAGACACCCTTATGACCCTTCTTATGACCCATTCCCTGGGGGCCCCCTTCCCCCCACCGCCAAGTCATCCTCTCCCCACTTCCTCTCTGCCCCAGAGCCCAACTCTCTCACTGACAATCCAGCTTCCTTCCCACTTCCCAAGCTGTGCGCCTGGGCACGCGCCTCCCCGGCCCCCCACGTGCAGGCCTGCCCTCGGCTGACCAGGGTGAAGAGCGTGCAGAGGCCCGTGATGGCCCCGAAGGCCGCGATGTAGCTGTGCATGTCCTGGTGCTCGGCCTCTGTGAAGAGCGGGTTCTGGCACTGGATCCCGCAGCCCTCCACGTCCTCGTACCAGCTCTTGGGGTTGTCGGTCCGAACCAAAGGAGCCTCACACTGGCCGGAACTGTTGAACTTGATGTTCTGCACCTCATTCTGACGCAGGGAAGGGGAGAAGAAAGATGGTGCAAAAGGAAGCAGGAGGCTCGGGGCGACCCTTGGTTTAATGAGTGGCACAGGGGTAGCATGGCAGAGTGGTTGAGGGCACAGATGCTGGAGACAGCCTGTGGCAAATTATTTGACTTCTCTGTTACTTCAGTTTCCCCATCTATGAGATAGCAGAAAAATGTGGATTCATTTGAAACATGGTGTTGGAAGGGAGCTCTGTGGTACCCTGGACCGCCAGAAAGATAACACACGGGTCTTCGAGCAAATGAAGCCTGAAACATCACTAGAGGCAAAAATGACAAAATTGAAGCTGTCCTATTTTGGGCACATCGTGAGAAGGCAGAGTTCTTTGAAAAAGACAACAATGCGGGCAAAAACAGAACGCAGCAGGAAAAGGGAAGACCAAGTATGAGATGGACTGACTCTATAAAAGGTGCCCTAGGCCTGAGTCCACAGGAGCTGAGAAGGGCGGTTGAGGATGGGACATTGTGGACCTCACTCATTCGTAGGGTCACCCGAAGTCAGAGCTGACTCAAAGGCATGTAACACACACACCTACTTCATGGAGGGGCTTAAGAGGTAAATGAATAAATAGATATAAAAATGCTATAATAATATTTGGCAGGTAGTAAATAAACAAGTAGTGTTATTACCATTATTATTATCATCATCGTCACTTATGAGCTCTCCTTCACCACCCAGAACAAGAACACATCCTGTCTTGGTGTCTCTGGCCATTTTACATGTGCCTTGACTCCATAAATACACAACCTATCCTCAGGATAGGTTCCTGTCATCTGTGATGCCCATAACTCCCTATCGTCTGACAGAGCTAGTGCTCTGTTGAACAGTTACCTTTTATTTTATTTTATTTTTTTTAAATCCTCACCTGAGGACATTTTTCGATATTTTGTTCAGATAGAGTGGGAGGGAGAGAGAGAGAGAGAGAAACATCGATGTGAAAGGGACACATCGAGTGGCTGCCACCCGCACGACCCAACCAGGGCCGGGGACAAACTGCAACCGGGGTACGTGCCCTTAGCGGGAACCGAACCCGGGTCTCTCTCGACCGCAGGCCGATGCTCTAACCGCTGAGCCAAACCGGCCAGGGCCAGAGATTATCCTTTTTTTAAAAAAAATAAAAGGCGCCCTGGCCGGTTTGGCTCAGCGGTTAGAGCGTCGGCCTGCGGTCCAGAGAGACCCGGGTTCGGTTCCCGCTAAGGGCACGTACCCCGGTTGCAGTTTGTCCCTGGCCCTGGTTGGTCGTGCGGGTGGCAGCCACTCGATGTGTCCCTTCACGTCGATGTTTCTCTCTCTCTCTCTCTCTCTCTCTTTCTCTCTCTTGCTCTCTCTGAACAAAAAATGGAAAAATGTCCTCGGGTGAGGATAAAAAAAAAAAAAAAAGGATACTCTCTGGTAGATGGGTCCAGCCAACAAACTTGAGTTTGTGTTTGTGACCTGTTGACCTCTGGTTGCAGACTTGGGGTTACCAGGGAGAAGACTCTGGGCTCCCGTGTCCCCTCCTTCCAGGCTCTGCCCTATGCCTGGTCCTGACCAGCCCCAAGAGCATGGACCTCGCGCCACAGAGCACTCACCGGGCAACCCTCAGGGAAGTGGTCGGGGGTACAGCGCAGGAAGTCGGGCCAGCCCCGCTCTCTCTCCACGATGGCACAGGGGCCTCGGGTGGCTTGGCAGAGGGTGCGGCTGGGCAACTCCACCCGGTCGTTCTCACACTTGGGCATGTACACAGCGCACAGCAGGGGCTGGATCACTGCCCAGCAACGGGGGGCATTCCGGAGGCCTGCAGGGTGATGACAGTGTGGACACATTGCAGTGAAGACCCCTCCTCATTCAGACCCACAGACACAGCTGCACCCTCTGTCCCCCAGGCCTAAGGCATCTCTCTTTGCCTTGCCACAGGCCATTATTGCTCAGAGCCGTCGGGCGGGGTGTTTCTCAACAAGGCATTTGGGCAGGACAGTTCTCTGTGCTGTAGGACTGTCCCAAGCATTGTAGGACATTTAGCATCGCAGGACCCTGCCCACTAAATGCCAATGGAACCCCTATGTCATTGTGACAACCAAAAAGTGCTTCCTCCCAAGCCCCATTCTAGAGGTGGTGACTAGAAGAGGAACTTTCTGGAATATTACTCATGTTCTGCTAGTGGATTCCTGGGTATATTCACCTTGTGACTATCAAGCTTATGATCTGTGCACTTTTTTATATGTACATTATAATACAATTAAAGTTTTATAAAACAGCCTTCATTTCCAAATGTCCTGCTAGGAAGTATAAGCACCCTCTATAATCAACCAAAACCAGATTGATTTACCTTGTACCTTTCCAGGGGCATTTTAAAAACCTGATACAGGCCTCTCCCAGGGGAAAGGAGAGTGGTGGAACCCCCGCACCCCCAACACACACACACACACACACACGGATCATGCTCCAGAACCATCAAGGAGACGTTTCCCCTTGCCAAGATCCCAGGACCGCTGGTTCTCTTACCAAGCTGAGGTGAGACTGAGAACAGGTAGGAGCTAAGAAGAGGTAGTCAGGGGAGCCCGGTACTCCAAGGCCAGAGGAGAAAACAGGAAATCAGGTGGAGAGAAACAGAGGAGGCTGTGTCCAGTGCAGAGAGAGGAAAGGAGGTACCAGCAAGACAGAAACAGCTGCCCCAGTAGCTGGGCTCACTCAGCATTCTGCCCACTTCACCCCTCCTGAGTCATCCTTGCTCCAGGAACACCTATTTCCCAAACGAGAAGTTGAATTAGGAGAAGCTTCTGAGGATATGAGAACCAACATGGGTGCTGGCCATACTGCTGGGCTGGGGGGTCATGAGGGTAGGTAGGTAAGCACTCTTTTTGGGGAGAGGCAATATAGTAGAGAGGTAAGGAGCATGGACACTGCAACCAGCCTGGCTGGGCTCAAATCCTGGCTCTACCATTTCCTGGCTGTGTGATCTTGGGCAAATTACTTAATCTTTATCTCTAACCTCAGTTTCTTCATCTGTGAAATGAAACAATACATTTACCTTGTAGAACTGTTGTGAAGAATAAGACGACAAATTCACTGCTTAGCACAGTACCTGTCATATAGTAAGAACTCAGGAAACGTTAGCTATCTGAGGCCTCTGACCACGCATTGCGCTCACTGTGACACAACCTATTCCAGGAGCACAGAGCAAGTTCCTGTCACTTAAGGAGCAATGATCTCACCCTGGCCAGGTCGCTCAGTTGGTTAGAGCGTCATCCCAATATGCCAAGGCTGTGGGTTCGATCCCCGATCAGGACATGTACAGGAGTCAAATGTACACATAAGTGGAACAACAAATTGATATTTCTCTCTCTCGCTCTAAAATCAATTAAAAAAATAAAAAAGCAGTTATTCTGGGCATGGTACCCAGACCTCACTCAAATCAGAATCATTTGGGGAATCCTTACCACTCTGGATGCAGAACCCACCCTCAGAAATTCTGACTGAGTGGTTGAGGGTAGAGAACACAGCAGTGGGTGCTAGGGGTTGGGTAAGAGGAGGGTTTGCCTACAAAAGGGGCAGCATGAGGGACTATTTGAGGAAACGGGGTTGTTCTCTGTCTTGAATGTGGAGTCTGGTTACACAACTCTGTGTGCTTGTCTAAACTCATAGAACTACACAACAAAGAAAAAGTAAATTTTACTGAATGTTTATTAAAATTGGAGGGCTTACTAGAGTTAAATGTATTCTAGAGAAGCAGCAGGCAGTTAATTAATAAAATATTAGGCTATTTTTTCAGGATTTTGTGATATTTGTGGTAATTATCAACTTTTAAATATATGTAATTTGTTGTTTTTAGTTTTTCTCATTTTAAATATTATTTCATTCTTTAAAAATAAACTCCCCAAGCCCTGACTGGTTTGCTCAGCGGTTAGAGCATAGGCCCGTGGATCAAAGAGTTGCAGGTTTGATTCTGGTCATGGGCACGTACCTTGGTTGCAGTTCGGTCCCTGGCCCTGGTCAGAGTTGTGTGGGAGGCAACCAATTGATGTGTCTCTCTCACATGGATATTTCTCTCTCTCTCTCTCTCTCTCTCTCTCTCTCTCTCTCCCTCCTTCGCACTCTATCTAAAGATAAATGGAAAAAAATCCTTGGGTGAGGATTTAAAAATAAACTCCCCAAGAAAAAGATGAATTATTAAATAAACCACGAACAACGATGGAGGAGTCATCTAAGGAAAAAATAAGTTGTACCCTTACTTCATTTCTTACATAAAATAAATTCTAGATGAATCAAAATAATTACATTATTTTTAAAAATTTAAATTTTTACTTATTGATTTTGAGAGAGAGAGAGAGAGAAACATTGATTTGTTTTTCCATTTATTTATGCATTCATTGGTTGATTCTTATATTCCCTGATCAGGGATCAAACCCACAACTCTGGCATATTGAAATGATGTTCTAACCAACTGAGCTGCTGGGTCAGGGCTAATAAATACATTCTTTTCAAAAATTAAAATACTAAAAGATGAGAAATGGTTTTTGAAACCTTGGAGTGGAGAAAGCTTTTTGATGTAGGACACCAAACCCAGAAGCTATGAAATAAAAGCTTTAAACAAAATCATATAAAAAGTAACACACTGAGAAAATATATTTTATACACATTACAGGTAAAGAGCTAACTTTCTTGTATGTATAAAACTTATCCAAACAATAAGAAATTCATAAGCCTATAGAAAAAAAGGCAAAAAACAAAGAGAACCAATCAGAGAAAATACAAATGGCCTTTAAATATGTAAAGAGCTGCTCAATCTTACACTGAATAAAATAAATGTGAACTAAAACTAATGAGGTACAATTTTTTAAAACTTTAGGGTGAGAGAGGTAAAAGTATTTGAAAATGATGTATTGGCATGACTAGGGGAAACTAGCATTTTTGTATATTTTTAATAGGAATAAAAATTAGGAAATACTTGTGGAGACTATTTGGCATTTTCTATCAAAATTTTATACTAGCAATTCTACTTCACATGTTCACAAAGATAATTTATAAGATTATTTATTGTAGCATTGTTTGTAATGGCAAGAGAGAAGAAACAACCTGAATGTATATCCATCAGGAGGAGACCAGCTAAAAATATATCATATATCAACGTCATAGGACATTATTCAGAGTTGAACTATTTGCATTGAAATGGAACTATCTCCAACAGAACTTGTTAAATGTATGTAGTTGAGTGGAGAACAGCCTACTGCTACTTGTGGGAAGAAAAAAGACTAAGGAAACATCTGCATTTGTACATATTATGGCAGTGTCTAGAAGGACACACAAAAATCAGTGTTGATGGTTGCCTCTGGGAAGGGAAAATGGGTAGCTGTGAACACAGGAGAGATTTGATTTTTGTTGTTTTTGAATTTTGTACTATGTGCATAGACTATCTTTTTTTTTTTTTTTTTCATTTTCACCTGAGGACATTTTTGCATTTATCTTTTAGATAGAGCAGGAGGGAGAGACGGAGGAAGAGAGAGAGAGAAACATCGACGTGAGGGAGACACATCGACTGGTTGCCATCCACACGACCCCAACCGGGGCAGGGGACAAACTGCAACCGAGGTACGTGCCATTAGCAGGAACCGAACCTGGGTCTCTCTGGTCCACGGGCCAACGCTCTAACCACTTAGCAAAACTGGCCAGGGCAGAGTATCTATTTTTTAAAGTAATGAAGTTTAAAATATATATATATATATATATGCCCTGGCCGGTTTGGCTCAGCGGTTAGAGTGTCGGCCTGCGGTCCTGAGAGACCCGGGTTCGGTTCCCGCTAAGGGCATGTACCTCGGTTGCAGTTTGTCCCCGGCCCTGGTTGGTTGTGCGGGTGGCAGCCACTCGATGTGTCCCTTTCATGTCGATGTTTCTCTCTCTCTCTCCCTCCCACTCTACCTGAACAAAAAATGGAAAAATGTCCTCGGGTGAGGATAAAAAAAAATATATATATATATATATATATATATATATATATATATATATACACAAATTATTGAGATGAGGAAAGCTTCCCAAAGAGAAGGGAATGAAACTGGTAACAGGAAGAAAGGAGACATCAACTTTATCTGTATTATTTTTTTTATTTCATTGTTGTTTTTTCTCTATCCTCACTCGAGGACATTTTTCCTTTTTTTTTTTTTTTTTTATCCTCACCCGAGGATATTTTTCCATTTTTTGTACAGATAGAGCGGGAGGGAGAGAGAGGAAGGGAGAGAGAGAGAAACATCGACGTGAAGGGACACATCGAGTGGCTGCCACCTGCACGACCAACCAGGGCCGGGGACAAACTGCAACCGAAGTACTGTACGTGCCCTTAGCGGGAACCGAACCCAGGTCTCTCAGGACCGCAGGCCGACGCTCTAACCGCTGAGCCAAACTGGCCAGGGCCATTTTTCCATTTTTTGTTCAGATAGAGTGGGAGGGAAAGAGAGGAAGAGAGAGAGAGAAACATCGACGTGAAGGGGACACATTGAGTGGTTGCTACCAGCACAACCAACCAGGGCCGGGGACAAACTGCAACCAAGGTACGTGCCCTTAGCGGGAACCGAACCCAGGTCTCTCTGGACTGCAGGCCATTGCTCTAACTGCTGAGCAAAACTGGCCAGGGCTATTTTTCTTATTTTAATAAAATATGAAACAAAAAAAAAAAAAATAGGGACACATTTTTCTACATTCATAGAATTTTAAAATAACATTTGCTACAATTTGAACGTTGAAAGAATTTTTGTTTGTGTGATTCTGATAAGCAATCAAGTTGAAAAACTACTGTTCTAAGGT